AAGGTCCATGGTACATGTTGGAGCTTGGCTTTGAACTCTTGGCCTATCCAAGACCACAACCCATGCTCCTCCACTCTTCCAAACAGGTTCTGAAAAGTGCACTTAAGTAAGATGCTGATTCAGATATAATTTTTAATATCATGTTGCTAAAGCAATGTAAAATAGAAGGCTTACAGAAACTGTAAAGGTCAATATTTTCAGAGAGAAAGGTGTAGGTGAATTTTCTATATTTTCTGAGATGATTCCCCTCCCATTCCTCCCTTCCCTGCTTTTTCTTAAGCTGATTGTATTGATTTTATTGGTAACTAGGAGTTAAATTTTATAACATGAATGGGTGTGTCACTGTTACACATTTTTAATAGGATTATTTTGGTTTTAGAACACAGGTTGTATCAGTCTGCTGAAGTAAACTTTTTTCCTAAAACTACATCTAAATAAGATGACTGATAGAACTTTTTCTCTCTAAAGTTTTATAAAACTTAATTAGCAAGATCAAAGGCTAGAATAGCCACAGTCACATTTACCAGATGCCTTGATAGTAATTCAGCATTTAAAGTATAATCCCTAAACAAGTCAAAAACAGAGACAAATGTTTTTTTTTTTTTTTAGGAGATTTAACTTATGATTTTTTTTTCTCCAAAAAACCTAATGGAAAACCTTAAGTGCTGTTATAGAGCACTATTTCAAAATAAGCTCCTTAGCAAAATAAATGAAAGACATGTAGAAACCTGAAGAAGCATTTTATTCTTCAGAGCCAAGGTGTCTGCAAAACTCGTGTAGGAAACCTCTTTCTTTCATTTCATATAAAGACCATTTTGTGTGAAATAAAGGAAAGTAATTGGCATCACTTGAATTCATTATTCAATAAATTTAACTATTTTTGGCTTGGCATGTACTGATTTCCTAATCTGGAATGCCTGCTAAAATATTTTCATTAAGGTGTGTTATTTTGAATAGTAAAGGACCTTCCAATTTAGGACTCAGAACATTCAATTTGGAGTATATATAAAGTCAAGAATAAATACAGTCAGCATTATTAAACATAAACCTTGCTACTGACCTACTTCAGTTGCAATTTTTGATTGCATAATTCATTCTTGTTTATCCACTTTGCATTTCTATAGCAACTATTTCTGTGGAATTTATGTGTTTGGTTGAAATGCCCCAGTAGAACAAAAAAGAAGCTTTTGTAAATTTTTTAAAAAGGGTGTGTGTAGTGATGAGGAATTGAGAAAGGACCAGTCTTGTTTGCAAAACAATTAAAAAAACATATCTTTATATGTGTTCAAATGTGTGTGCAAACACGTTTGATTTGATGCATGTCCCATTTTAAAGACAGTGAGCCCCATCTGATTACCCATATTCACTTAAAATGGAGTGGCAAATGATAATGTCTTAAAAATTAGTTGATAGGAAACAATTTAGAGAACAGAGATATTCAGCCTCATCTAAAAAAAAACCACTCATGTTATTTTTAAGTTCCCCATGTGGATTTTTATAAAATATAAATAGAAAAATGTAGCTGTCACATGCCAATTACATGTTACATAAGAGATAGGGTAATGGATATGCTCTATGTTTTAAGGGATACTATTTTGCAATGCACACTGCCACATGGGAAATTCAAAGAAAACATAAAATAGTTTATGGAAAAAAAAAACGAAATTAAACTAAGTTTATTTTTGTTTCTAAACCAGGCTTATTTCTTAGCAATTGTGAAATATTTTGTTCAGTTGTTCTCATCAGGACTAAATTTATCTTATTCAGACAATTAATTCAGAAGGTTCACAACATTTTTGCTTATGAAATTGAGATCTGACAAGATGTAGATTTCTAATGACTATTTTTCAGAGTCTGTTGTATGCTGGAAAGATAGCATTGCAACTTCTAAATCTCTTATCAGATGTTAAGATTGTAACATTTTATAAAGACAATGAAAATAGAAAAATTACATATTAACTAAATTTTGCATTGCTAACATTTTTAAACATGTTTTGTATGCAGGTGAAACAAGGCTAAAATTTTGGTTTTTAGAATTAGAATAGTTGTCTTGTATCGTATTAGTTATATATAATAAAGGCAAGTAAAACAAATACTTTGTAATTTCATACTAAATGTATTCATTAATTCATTGAACAAGGATCAATTATTTACTCTGTGACAGGATATTCTACCTATATCTCTGGATGCATAACAAAGGTTTAGCCACTCGATACTTTCTGAAACCTAAGGACTAATTCTTATTATCACTGTGCAGTAAGATCGTTTGGTGCAGGTCCTGAGTAAAAGGGAAAATACAAGGGCAAACAAAACAAAACAAAAGTATGCCAATGAATTACAAAAACTACTATTTAACTGGGTTGGGACCAAAGGTTGTTAGTGTTGTTTGCCACAACTATCTGAAAAGAGCCCAAAATGTCAAGCTGACCTCTTAATGGTGACTGGGTGAATACCAAGGTTCAGTGGTTTGTTCTTGATGTGCATCCAAACATTTGGCTGTCTGTCCAACATTTTTAGTTAGAGCTTTTTCTTCTATTAACAAAGTTTAAGCAAGTGTAAAGTAGGAGTTGAACATTTATGATACTATTTTTATCATTATGTGAAACAAATGAAAGCAGTCCATATTTTGAATGTATTCCCTTAAGTTCATGTGGGGCTAAATTAGCTTGGCATTAGTCATTCATGAATCATTGTTGATAGCGAGAATACAGTTGTTGTGAATTCAGAACCTGAGGGACAGATAATAGATAAGATCATTACAGGCTGTGATGTGTTCCGTGAAAGACAGAAATGGGTGATGCGGATGATGGTAACGGACTGGAGGGGGTGGGAAGGAGGCCAAAAAGAAGTTCTCTGAGGAGCAACATCTAACCTGAGGTCCGAAGGATGAGGAGCCGTGGGAAGAATCAGCAAAGAGTGTTGCAGGTAGGCAGAACTAGGAGTGCAGAAATATGCAGTGAGAGGAGCTCATTGGTTAGGAACAGGAAGGAGGGTAGCTTAAGTTCCACTAGAAAGGATCTTTCTGACTTCGGTGATTTCATATCTAATGGAGAATGCCCCACTGTCAAGCTGGAGACCCCGGGTTGCACTACAGTAACCAACCGTCCCCAATCGCAGCCACTCCAAACAACTAGATTTATTTCTCACTCACTCCGTCCATCCATTGCAGCTGGCCAAGTGCTCTGCTCTGTGTGCTCCTCACTCCTCACCCTCGCTGACCGAGCAGTCATTGCCCGAACACAGCGGTTATGGTGGCAGAGTAAAAAGAAAGCATGGCGTATCCAGTACAGCCTCTTAAAGCTTAGCACACATTGCTTCCACTTGCATTTCATTGGCCAAAGCAGTGACTAATCTCAAGTCAGGAAGGAAGTGTGGTTCCCCAGCATGCCTGGGAGATGAGTAGAACTGGAAGTGTCAATGAGCAGTAGTAAAAATATCCCGGTGTGGGTCAGTGAATGACCTGGAATTGCATGTACAAGTTGTGAGGGTGTGTGTGGGAGGGGGTGCGTGTCTTCAGGGAAAAGGTCCATTGCTTTAATCAGATTCTCAAAAGAATCTGTGACACAACAATGATTAAAAACCGCTGGACCAGTTGAAAACTGTCATGTAAACAGATAATTGCTATACAAGGCAATTTGCAGCATGAGTGAAAGGCTGAAATGATTAAAACGTTGTGAGTGGGGATGTGTGCCCGTGCGTATGTGCACACAAGTGTGTGTGGTGATAAGGAAGACGTTGAGCAAATTTGTAGATCAAAGGGTGGAAGGCAGAGAACAGAGAGCAGTGGATTAAAGACCCCAAAGGGGTTAGGGGAAATGACTGAAGCCCAGAAGGTGCCTGAGGAGATGGTATCCAATATTCTCTACAAGTGTTAACTTTGGGATCGGCTAATTCCCTGACGAAATTAGGGAGGAAAGGAGGAAAAACGTGGATGCCCCCATGGGTCAGGCTGCAGGTGGAGGGGAAAGAGAGGACCTCTGTTTTGTCTGATAGATGGACAAGGGCAGCTACTTAGACTGACAATTTGGAACAGCTGTAGGAGAAATCTGAAACGGAGCTGACTGGGGACGAATGAAAGGACTGCCAGTAGCACTGAGGGCTCAGCTGATGTTGGAGACCAGATTTGGTGCAGTGCCAGTACACTCAGTTGTGGGATTTTTCCTTATCCATGCTCAGCTGCCTGGAAGCAGGAGCTGAGAAAGTTAACGGTTGGACTGATCCGGGACTGGGGATTGGCAGAGCAGGGTTTGCTGATAATATGAACATGTTTTGCTGATAATATGAAGTTCAAGAATCTCTGAACAGGCAACAAGGACTAATTTGACTTTTAATTTTTAAAATTAAGCTGCTCAGGAATGGCGAGAAGCAGCTTTATGCCTATAGTTGTTCTTTGTGAGTTGCGGTTCTCACTCCCTGGACAACTTGGTTTTGTAATGAATTCATAACTGATATAACCACTAGAACCAGTATGGTTAAGAGTAAGCAGTGCTGCTTCTTTCTTTTTTATTTATTTATGTATTTATTTATTTATTTATTTATTTATTTTTGCATGACAAAGTCTTTACTTTCAAATGATTATCAGTACACCAAGTAAGACCATGTATACAAGTTCTTGAATTCTATCATCTAATAATTTTGGTTAAGAGAAACTAAGAGCAGCCCGAACAATATATACTAGTATTCGCTGTTCCACCCTTAGCCGAAAGGACGACTTAAGGCCGGCTGCTGCTTCACACAAGTTACAGTAACTATTTACTACTTTTTCACAGAGAAAGCCCGTGACCTTCAAGAAAGCTTTAGGGAAAAAAAAATATTTAATCCCTTTCTTTCTTTAAACAGTTTTTTTTTTTTTTTTCTACATCTAAGAAAGAAAAAGTACTGATACATATGTTGCTTGAGCTAAAAGGCATAGGAAAACAGACAACGCATACACATTAAATTTCTAAGAAA